GTCCCACTTGACCTTGAACATAGATGACATAGTAGCTAGCCCGTCCATTACCTGATTCTCTTCTCGTGGAAAATGTTCAAAGGTGACCTCTTCAAAGTGTGGAAGCAGTGTCATCACATGATCTTTTTAAGGGATAAGATTAGGGTGCTTCGTGTCCCACTCCCCTTTGATTTGACTTATTACCAAGGCTGAATCCCCGAAAATGCTCAAGAACCTAATCCTCAGGTCAATAGAAGCTTTGAGACCCATGATGCATGCTTCGTACTTCGTCATATTGTTGGTATAGTTGAAACATAATATGGCGGTGAAAGGAGTATGACAACCCTTGGGGGATATGATTACAACACCGATGCCATTGCCGAGTGAGTTGGAAGCTCCATCAAAAACCATAGTCCATCGAGATCCTTCCTCAGGTCCTTCATCTGGTCCAGGTTCTTCATAGCCAGTCACTAACATAATATTCTCATCCGGGAATTCAAAGTTCATGGATTGGTAGTCATCCACAACCTGATGAGCCAAATGATCAGTTAGTACACTCCCCTTGATTGATTTATGATTCGTGTATTAGATATCGTATTCGGTCAAGAGCATTTGCCATCTTTCTATTCTTCTGGAGAGAGCGGCCTTCTCGAAGATGTATTTGATCGGATCCATCTTAGATATCAACAAAGTAGTGTGGGTCAACATATATTGTCTCAGTCGGCGAGAAGCACATGCCAAAGCACAACAAGTTTTCTCGAGCAGTGAGTATCTTGTTTCACAGTCGATAAACTTTTTTCTAAGGTAGTATATTGCATGCTCTTTTCGACCGGACTCGTCATGCTGCCCCATCACACACCCCATTGAACTATCTAACAATGTTAAGTACATTATCAAAGGTCTTCCTTCAATCGGAGGCATCAGAATTGGAGGCTCCTGAAGGTATTCTTTGATTCTCTCGAAGGCGGTCTGACACTCGTCATTCCACTTTATCACTTGATCTTTCTTCAGGAGTTTGCAGATCGACTCACAAGTAGCAGTTAAATGAGAAATAAACCAAACAATGTAATTCAGGTGTCCCAAGAAACCTCTAACTTCCTTCTCAGTGCGAGGAGGTGGCATCTCTTGTATGTATTTCACCTTTGTAGGGTCTACCTGAATGCCCTTGTCACTGACAATGAAACCTAGGAGTTTACCAGACGTTACTCCAAAGGTGCACTTGTTTGGATTTAACTTCAGCTTGTACATCTTCAACCTATCAAAGAACTTTTGTAGATGATCAAGGTGCTCTTCCTTAGTTTGAGACCTGGCTATCATGTCATCAGCATAGACGTCTATCTCATGATGAATCATGTCATGGAACAAAGCTACCATGGCTCGCTAATAGGTTTCCCCAGTGTTCTTCAACCCAAATGGCATCACTGTGTAGAAAAAAGTACCCCATTGCGTGACGAAGGTTGTCTTCTCCATGTCTTCAAGTGCCATCTTGATCTGATTGTAACCAGAGAAACCGTCCATGAAGGAAAAGATCTTGTGCTGCATGGTGTTGTCAACCAGAATGTTAATATGGGGAAGCGAAAAGTCATCCTTGGGGCTTGTCCTTTTTAGGCATCGGGACTATGTTAGAAACCCATTGGGGATAAGAGGTGACAACTAAGAACCCAACATTGAAGTGTTTCATAACCTCTTCTTTGATCTTCTCTGACATTTCAGGGCGCATAGGACGAACCTTCTGCTTTACCGGAGGGTAATCTTCTTTAGTTGCCAGACGATGAACCACAATATCCGTGTCTAGTCTTGGCATGCCTTCATATGACCAGGCAAAGATCTCGACATAATCATGCAACATCTGTAATTACCGCTGTTTGACATTAAGCTCCAAATTTGCACCTATCTTGACTTCTTTTCTATCTTCTTCTGTGCCCAATTTTTCTGTCTCAACTGGCTCTTCATGAGGCTGTATAGCCCTTTCTTCCTGCTGTAACAATTTAGCAAGTTCTCCGGGTACCTCACAATCTTCCTCACCTTCGTCTTCGGCTTGGTTGATCAGATTTTCAAAGTCATAACCGGCAATAGAAGAACTATTATCAATGAGATCCAAAATGGATATGGATCTACAGTTGATATGTGAGTATGTGTAAGAGCATAGTTGTATAGACAAATTAAAAAGCAGAAAAGAAAAATAGAGAGCGCATAATTTGTATGCAAGAACGTCTAATGCTTTATTAATGACATATGAGATTGAAATGATGATAACCCTCACAAATAAACCATTGTGCATCGGGTAAGACACATGGCCAAAGAGTTTATATTGTTTAATACATAACCGAAAACAAGAAAGACAATTACTTATGAATAAAAGTAATTGGTACAAAGTCCTTTGCCGTCCATTTATTGGGTCCACCATTAGTAGTAGGGAAGATCCAGCTATCCATGTCATAGCTATTGTCAACATCTTCTTTGGTGGAGACAACATCAATAACATTGATTACCGGGCCATGCTTAGGCATGGGCGCAGTTATGACGTTGGGAGTTTTTGGAGCATCAAATTCAATCTCCTTTGCCTCGATCAGATCATGCACCTTGTTCTTCAAAGGCCAGCAGTCGTTCGTCTCATGCCCTAAAGTCTCAGAATGGTAGGTGCATCGAGCATTTGGATTGTAGCGGGGAGAGGCAGTATTAGGATTCTTCGGAGCTTCCCTCAGAGTTACCATATTGGATTTCAACAATTATGGCAAAACTTGAGACAAAGTCATATTTATCCGGGTAATTTTTCTTACAGGACTTTCTGCTCTAGGCTGATTGTTCCTTTGTTGAGTAGGTGCAGGTTTAGAGATCATAACAGCCCCTACCGTTGGACGGTGTTCAATTCTGGCCTGAATACTTTGGCTTTAAGTGGCACTGACTTCCTTCTTCCCAGAAAATGGCTTCCTTACCATACTGAAGGACGCATCCTTTTGAATCTTACCACTCCTAATCCCAGCTTCCACTCTTTCTCCTATCAAGATCAGCTTAGTGAAACCAGCTAAGGAGCTTCCAATCAGATGATTGAAAAATGGACTAGATAGGGTACCCAAAAACATATCCACTAGCTCCCTATCAGACCAGGGAGGTTGGAATCTTCTTGCTAAGTCCTTCCACTTCTGAGCATAGTCTTTAAAGCTCTCGCTCGAACCCATAGACATAATTTGGAGTTGTGTACGGGTGGGAGCAAGGTCTGCGTTATACTAATACTTCTTGTAGGAAGCAGCAACCATGTCTTCTCAATTATGAATGTTGGTCCCTTCCAGCTGGTAAAACCATTCTAGTTGAGTTCCGGATAGACTATCATGAAAGAAGTGGACCCATAAGTCCTTGTCAATAGTGTGAGGCTGAATCTTCCTCACATAAGATCGGAGATGCATCTGGGGACATGAAACCCCATCATGTTTGGTGAACACCCGCACCTTGAACTTTTGCGGGATGACAACCTCAGAAACCAAACCCAGCTCTTCAAAATCAAGCCCAGACACCTTATGGATTTCCATTGCACTTGGTCGCTCTTCCAGTTGTTTGTATTTTTTGTCGGCCGGAGGATACTGCTCCTCATTGTAGTCAGTCTCATTATCAGATTCCCTTGGACCGGGGTCTTCCTCTCTTGTCTCCCCTTCTTGATTGTCTCCTTCTTTTGAAGAAAATGTTAGCTCAACCACTTGCCTTAGCGGTCCTTTGAATCTCCTTCCCAAATTCACCATACCAGCTGTCTTCCTTGGCTTCTTGGTCTTCTCTTTGATAATCAGGGCTTTCAGTTCCTCATGCCCCTTAGCCAGAGCCATGATCATCTGTTGAAACTGAGCATTTTGAGTCTATAGATCTTTCACTGTTTGTTCTAGAGCCATTGCTGAAATAAATAGCAAAGAAGATGAGAAACCTACTTTGAACCCCGCTTATGCCATGATATGTATGATATATGTATGCAATGTTTTCAAGGATTTCTAAGACTTAAATTTGCTTAAATAAAAAGAGAACAAATTTTAATTTCATTAATAAGTTTTATCGATCACAATGATGCCTCTTGGGCGTACAAGGGAATTAACAAAGCAAAAATAACTCTCTAAGCAAAGAGACTCAAGCTTCCCACCGGTGCATCCTCTTTGGTGCAATATAAGCATTTATACTCTTCTCTTTGTGAAGTAACCTGGTGAGCTCTAAAACCTTCTTCTTGTTAGCGTAGAATTGGGTTTCAAAGGTATCTCATTCACTACAAGAAAATTGGCAGATTGCGACAGGTATTTTTGTAGATTACGACGGTTAAAACTGTCGCAATTTGCTTTCCACGACGGTTGCTTTACCGTCGCAGAAGTGTGTGTCCCCAACCTATTTCGTGACGGTTATAAAAACTGCCGTTCAAGTTTACAATGGGTTTGGAGCTGACATAATCAAGTATTGGTGACTGTTTGATACCGTCGTGACTATCTTTTGAGTTTCTTTTAATTATTGATGGCGACGGTTCGATACTGTCGTGAATATCTTTTGAAATTGATTAAATTGTTTATGGCGACGGTTCGATACCGTCATGACTTTTGTTGATTATTTTTAATTGTTGATTACGACGGTTCGGTACTGTCGCCATGACTTTTGTTTATGTCTTGATTTTTTTTTATTTTTCTATTATATATATTTTTTATTTAAATTATTATCTATGTAAAAAAATTTAAATATAGTTTTTTTTTGTGTTATTTTTTTCTTTAAATTATTTCTTCTTTAATATATTTATTTATAGTATTATTTTTTGTTTTATTTTCTATCACTTTGTAATATAGTAAAAATAATTTCAATAAAAAATATTTAACATCAAATAAGCATTATAATATCCAAAAAAATGTGTGTTCCATAATCATGTAAAATGCGAGTTCCATAATCATGTCAAGTAGTACAAAAAACCCAAAATATATCAATTCCTAATCTTATAATAATAAGTATCATTATGCCAAAAATACATGAGAAAGTTCACAATCTAATTATCTCGATCATAGCAAATTCTAATTTGTCCCCCCTGAAGTTCCATTATCTCCAATACGGTAGCTAGACTCAGATGAACGTCTACCATCAGCGGGTGATTCCAATCCCTAAAAAAAGGTATTAAAATAATAATCTTTAAAATAATACTCATAAAGTTTAACTTTAAATGCGTCAAAATAATATACCTGTCTTCCACTAAAATTCTGCATTTGCATTAAGAGTTCAATTTCCTTTGTCCTCGCCTTGTCCCTTTGCGTTAAGAATATGATTGCCTGTGTTAATTCATCAATTTTTGAATTCTTTTCTTTAAGTGCATTAATTTCTTCTTGCATTTCCTTTATTTGTTCACTTTCTGCAGAAGAAGATGTCGATCTCGTAGATCTATTAATTTGAGATGGTGTAACTCCAAGTCCCATACTACGAACATATCCATGCTTTTCTTTTCCAAATACTTTCTGAAATGCCTCATTTTCAGACACAGAATCCTTAATTGCAGCTTGTAATTTTTTCTGCACATGAAAAAGAAAAAATTGAGCTATTGTTTATATAACAAGAATAATATATTGGGGGAGAACCTCTTGATCAAATCATGGACTTCCATATATACGTAAAAAGAAGTTGGCACAAACTAGGAGGTGGCACAAACTATTGCAAATGTGACATGGAGAATTGTTTACAAGAAGTTCAGTAAAGCTTGCTATCCACCATTCTTCAGTATAAACAAAATCACTCTAGGATATTTATTCTGAAATTTCCCACTAAAGTTACCCCACAGTTTTCAATGTTTCAAATATATGTCAAATGAAGCATAGGTGATTTTTCCATTACAACTTACGCTTCTAATCTATGCAGGTATGATGCCTCTTATTTCCTTTGTTCTACTGGTTGGTCTCTTTATTTTGCAACACCATGGCTCCCACGCGATTGCTTTCATGTTTCCTCCCATAATCATCCTATGGTTACTATCTATTTTCACGATTGGCATTTACAATGTCATCAAGTGGAATCCAAGCATATATCGGGCTCTTTCTCCATATTATATATATAAATTCCAGTGGTGAGTTTTATTTGGGATGGTTCTATTACTATTACTGTTTTTTTTCCAGTATTTCAAAAGAATTAACTTGTACTTACATTATTGTTGTATGCATCTTCATTGATAAATGACCCGTTAGGCTTTTTATGAGAAACTGCATACATTTCTCCTCTGCTGTATGTTCGTCCATCTCTCATTTCCTGCAAATAAAAACTAATATAAATTGTTTGTACTATCAAGCAAACAATCAACAACATATGGATTTAGACATACCAACTCATGTTTCTTCCTTGCAAGCGACTTAGATCCGAGTGTATGCGGAGCCTTCAATTTTGCTCTATTTTGGGAATTTTTTTGGGATATTTTCTACATTTGTAGCAAATAAAAACATGCATTATAGATAGGATAACATACAAACCAGAGAAATCTAACAAATAAAAACACTAATGTTACCTGTGTTTTTTCTTTCCGCCTATATTGAACATAAACAACCCAGTCATTTTCAGGAATGCCTCTGCATTTTGGATAATTTTGAATATTTTCCTCCAAAGGGAGATCCCATCTATAAAATTCGTGAAACAATGTATGTCGAGCATCCTTCCATTTCCTTGCAGCAGAAGCAAGTACAAAATCTTTGTCACGCCCATCATCCACAAGAAAATGGCGCTAAACATAAAAATATATTAGTTGACAAAGGAAATAATAATCACCATGAAGTTAATTTAAAAAATATGTAATTGTTTATTAATAATACCTTTATCTTTGATTCATAAAACTTTGTTTTTGTATCTGCTGGAACATTCTTCCAACTCTCAAACATTATGGGAATATCTCTAAACATTCTAATAATTATACCTAAATATCCTGCTAGCAAACCAGAAGCCGGTCATACTGCACAATTATTCTTATTGAATTCAAGTATTATCCATGTTCCATCAGGCTCTGATTTCGCAACCAAGTCTTTCACACATAAACGTGTGTTTGAAACATAACCTTCCTCGTCTATCACATTAAAAAAATAAACAAATTAATTTCATAACTCAACTATGTAAAAAATTTAAATTATTTATAGATACTTTAACCTTAAATTACTTACTAATGACATTTACATCCCAATACTCAGATTTAGCCACTTTAACAACATCTCCAGTCCCATCTCCTACCACAACATCTTCAGCCTCATCTCCCACCACAACATCTCCAGTCCCATCTCCTACCACAACATCTTCAGCCTCATCTCCTACCACAACATCTTCAGCCTCATCTCCTAATACAACATCTCCAGTCCCATCTCCTACCACAACATCATCAGCCTCATCTCCTACCATGTCATCTTCATCCTCATCTTCTACCCCAAAATCTTTTGCAATTTGGATTGACGGGGGGGTTATTGTAGTTTCCATTGGTGGAGGGGTTATTGTAGTTTCCATTGGTGGAGGGTTTATTGATGATTTGCGAGTTGTAATTGAACGTAGGCGCTTCTTATTTACTTCAAGCTCTCCAGGTTGTACAAACCTTGAACGGCCCTTCACAGACTAAATAAAATACATTAGTGAATATTAGTAAATAATAAGTATAATTAATTTGTATGGAGTAGTATAGAGAATTTATGACTGACCAGTGATGGTTTGGAAGAAGACTCTGATGATTTGTGAAGGGATTGAGAGAGTGTAGGAAGATTGAGAGCCGCTAAATTTTTCTTATTCTCTGCAATTCTTTTGAGGCGACTATTCTCATATGGTGTAGTCATTGTCTCACAAAAGGCTTCAACTGCAAGTATAGGTATTAAGTACACTAAAAGTAGTAAACATCAAAATTATATATTAGTGAATACAAATTTAATAAACATAACATAAAGATAATAAATTAAAAACATAGAGTAACAATGTCATCTAACATATTAATTAGGGATAAGCAACAAAGAACATAGAGTAACAATGGAATATCATACATTAAGTCTCACACAAGTTACAAACAAACTAGATTCTTATCAATAAAAAAATATATGTTAACTATTGTCATCATTTGTCGCTGAATTTCCAAGATCATCATTTGAAAAGATTTGTTCCAAATTTTTTGATGGATATGGCTCAATGGGTGTCATAATTTCATCATTTCCACCCATGTCATACAAGTCTCTTGGCTTCAAATGAACAGGTATGCTCCATCCTTGTTCACTCTCACCATCTACATAAAAAACCATATGAGCTTCAGATGCTTGAATATATGGCTCATTATCTTCATGTTCACTAGTATGTAGTAGTCTTGCAAAGTTTATAGAGGTAAAACCCAACTTATCTATCTTAATTCCTCTTGGGTTTATGGTATTAGCCCATTCACATTTAAACATGGGCACTGTGAAGCCATCATAGGAAAGCACAATAATATCTATTAATCTTCCATAGTAAGGGACCCCTCCAAATCTCATTTGGGTATCACTATTGCTTGAATAACTTCGTGTCCCAAACATGCCAAAAACTCCACTATTTTGAGTTTTTAAAAGATTGTCTCGTTCCAACGTTCGAAACTTTAATCCATTGACATTGAACGCGGTAAATCTTTTAACTTTATCAAAAGGTCCATGAGCAAGACTAATGAGAACATCTTTATCTGGCCCATGAATGTTGTCAAGATTGTTGCGAATCTATACATGATACAACATTCAATTAGTCTTGTTATTATTAAAAACCAATTCAATAAAACATCTATATTCGTATGAAAACTCACATGATTGTTGAACCAATGCGCAAACTCCTTATGAACCTTCTTGTCTATCTCAGTAGCACTTCTTTGACTGCGCCTCATTTGGTTTTGAGTAAAACTTCAGAACTGCCTATTTGATTATTCGATATTAGATGTAAAAAAATATTAATAGTATATATGAAACTACTTAAATGTAATAAAACTACATACTTTAGATAGTCGTCAACTATTGGACAGTTTGTTAAAACGTGTCTATGAGCCTGCAATTTTTCAGTTGGTGTTAGGGTGTAATAAGAAGATCCACCCACAGGTTTTCCAACTCTAGGAAATAATTCAGCTACACGTGAAGCAGTTTGGATATCATCAATAGGGTCGTCATCTACACGTCCAGGTTGATTCCATCTAGTCTCAATTTTTTCTAGATATCTTGAACAAAATGTAAGAATCTCTTCAAAACGGTATCCTTCTGCAATAGACCCTTCTGGTTTTGCCTTATTACGTACATACGATTTAAGTTTTCCCAAGTACCTATCATTGAACCACAATAACACTAGTTAAAAAAACTTTCTACTTTCTAATTAAGTTAGTAACATTAGAACAAAATCACATAGTTTACCTTTCAACAGGATACATCCATCGATAATGAACAGGACCTCCAAGTTTAACTTCTTCAACAAGGTGAACAACCAAGTGGACCATAACCGTGAAGAACGAGGGAGGAAATAACATTTCCATATCGCATAAAGTGAGGATAATTTGGTTTTGCAATTTTTCCATGTCTTCAATTTTCAATACCTTGGCACATAATTGTCTAAAGAATGAGCACAACTCAATCAATACTGCTGAAACCTCCTGAGGTAATGTTGTGAGAATGGCTAATGGTAAAAGTTGTTCCATTAATATATGACAATCATGACTCTCCATCATTCCATTCACCTTGAGATTTACTAAGTCAATGCATCTAGAAATGTTGCTTGAATAACCATCAGGCACCCTAATATTCTTTAAAGTCATTAAAAAATTCCTTTTATTTTTACCTGTTAAACTAAAGGCAGCCGGAGAAATTTTACCATTTTCATCAGGCCAAAGATCAGGTCTTATGCCCATATTTTGAAGGTCTTCTCGAGCTTTATAATGGTCTTTACTCTTTTGCCTATCATTCAGTAGAGTAAATAGGACATTATCGCACATATTTTTCTCAATATGCATCGGATCAAGATTATGGCGTAGAAGATTATCTTTCCAATACGGAAGTTCAAAAAATATGCTTTTCTTTTTCCATTGTTGAGGATGACCTTTTGTAGGATCACATTGTGTACTATCACCTTCTATAGGTTGTTCCTCACGTGTTCTTTTTACTGATTTTTCTTTCACTGCCTTTTTACCAAAGATGACTTCAACATCTTTAACCTTTTCAAAAACTTCATGTCCAGATAATGTTCTCGGTGGACTCTGCATTTCTTGTTCACCATTAAAGCGGATCTTGTTCAATCTAAACCTGTGTCTCCGATCAAGGAAACGACGATGACCCATAAAACACCATTTACGACTAGCTTTAAGACAGAGAGGTGTAGTTTGAAAGTTACACGATGGGCAAGCAAGTCCTGTGTATGTGTTCCACCCAGAAAGTGAACCCAACCCTGGAAAGTCACTAATAGTCCACATCAAATTTGCATGCAACTTGAACATCTCTTTCTTGAAAGAATCGTATGTATCCACACCACTTGTCCATAACTCCTTCAGGTCTTTGATTAATGGTTGTAAGTAGACATCAATATTATTTCCTGGTGCCTCTTTACCGGGAATTATCATTGACATTATAAATGATGTCTGCTTCATGCAAACCCATGGAGGAGTGTTATATGGTATGAGAACAACTGGCCAAATACTATTGTTTGTACTCATCACACCAAAAGGATTAAAACCATCACTAGCCAATGCAAGACGCACATTCCGTGGATCTGATGAAAACCAAGTATGTGTCAAGTCAAATTTCTTCCAAGCTTCTGAATCTCTAGGATGCCTTAACATTCCATCATTGTTAGTATCTGTTGCATGCCATCTCATATCCTCTGCCGTTTTTGATGACAAAAATAATCTCTATAATCGAGGTTTTAATGGAAAATAACGAAGAACCTTGGCAGGAATTTTCTTTTTTTTCTTGTTAATAGAGACATCCTCATTTGTTTTCCATTTTGAAGTGTTGCAATTTTTGCAAGTCTCCCTCTCCTCATCTTCTCCCCAATAAAGCATACAACCGTTTGGACATGCGGGTATCTTTACATAATTCAAACCAAGTTTTGTGATTGATTTCTTGGCTTCATAGAATGAACTTGGAATGTTTGCATATTCAAATGCATCTTTTATTAACTCTAAAATCATTGTCATTGCCTTCTCACTCAATCCACATAAACACTTTATATGGTACAACTTAACCAAAAAAGATAGTCTTGAATATCGTCTACACCCTTCATATAAAGGTTGTTCTCCTTCTCTAGCCAACTCATAATACTCCTTGGCTTCATTTCTTTCCTGAGTTGAGCTTGGCATCACATAATCTTCTTGTTCAATCTCCAAATTTGACGCAGATGGTATTTCATTTGTATGATTCCCATAAACTCCAAATGCATCGTTAATCATGTTCTGAATAGGTTCTTCGACAATGTTAGTATCTTCTACCATACTTGGAGTAATACTAGGGGAGATAGTACTAGATAGTACAAAAGACTCTCCGTGATGGATCCACATGGTGTATCCCTACGGAAATGGTGACCAACTTAAGTGGTCGAACATGTCACTCCTACTCTTTAATTTTCTGAAACCGCAACGTTTGCAAGGACATATTACTACGTCGTTTTCTTTTGCACCTTTAAATGCAAAATCAATAAATTCTTGTATCCCTTTTTGATACGCAATCGATGATTGTGGCTTAATAATCCATGACTTATCCATTTCTTCAAAAAAAAATTATATTTTCAGAATTATAGTACTTACGAGAACATGTTATTTTGAATATAAACAATAGAAAAATAAAAGAGATGAGTTTTATTATTGGTTGTTTAATTTGTTTTTACACACTACATAACAAGTTTATAGGTGAAGCCTTGTGATATCAAT